TTACTCAGAGAAGTATCTTTGACAATATATGTCAAGATAAAGATCATTGGAGGTGCTTTCCCTAAAGTGAATAATTATCTTAATTAATCTTTTTTGTATATGAGATTTTGATATAAACATGTGTACAGTATCAGAAAATTAAATTCATGAAATTTGCTGAAAACAAAATTTCGAAATTATTGAAGAAATTATAATTAATTTTGCGATGATTTGAAGAGAAGAGAGATCATCAATCATGCAATCTTTGTTGAACCGAGTCTTCGTTAATTTAATTGGTAGAATGGTTCGTTATCGCCACGTGATAATGGTTAGTTGGTCTGATCCGGTCGTGAATGATACCAAAGAATTGAAACGATAGATGTTTTTCTGCGTATTTAACTCGTACAGATTAAAATTATTGATCATGGATCATAAACGATTAAATATTTCGACGAAAAGATCTACTTGTGTGAGGTCCAAACGGAATAAACGGTAAGTGCAATCGTTTCATATTTATTTGCCGTTTTAATGCTGAATTATGAAATTTGTGATTTATGTGACAATTAGGGCTGCTATTTAATAAATATATTAACTTTGATGTATTTAAAATAAAAAGACACAAGCGTCACTAAGTAAAAATACACAAAACATCTAAAGATTATCTAAAATATTATTTTTATTCAAATTTTATAAAACGTCTGTAACAAAAAAGTATGTAAATTTTTAAATATTCTAATATAAATTTATGTATTTCCTTTTTTATTCTTTGCCATTTTGAAGCTACGTGTTATATTAACTTTGCACGAACATTTTTCGCTTTAAGAAACTCTTTAAAATAATATTCAAAGATTATAATATAATATTGAATTATAATAATTCAAAAAGAAGAATGCTATTTAATATTTTTAAGATAATTTTATTGTTTTAACCCTGAAAAAAGCTAGGATTTTTGTAGTCCTAAAGAATATTAAATTTTTTGTAAAAATATATGAAAAACAACTTTAAACTTAGAAATAATAAGAAATATTTCTCATTTTAAATACACTGTATACACTGTACATTCTATATACATATTGTGCAATATTTTGAAATTTTTTTCATGTTTTGTGACAACTTGTTATCAGTGATTCTAATAGCTTTTTCTCGTCAATTACGAATCTGTAATTAAAAATGCTCCAGCATGTCAGATTTTTGAAAAAAACCGAGTTAAAGTGTAAAAAAAAGAAAACGCATTTTTGATTACTTTTTAAGTTATTAAAAAAAAAAGGGATATAGAAATTTTCGGGAATTAGCTTGACAGATCATAAGACTCTTTCGACTTCAAAAGGAATGCCTTATTTTTCATGATTTTTTCTGAAAAGATATATAAGACTACAAAGTTTAAATTTTTTATAAATAAAGTACATATTTTTGACTGCTAATCATAATTTTTTATTTTATGTTTCTCTGCAAAGGTATCTTCCTTCTTTCTATGTACCTTCTTTTTTCATACCTTGTATGACATTTTACGGTTTAGATATTTACCAGAAATATCTCTGACTTGCTTCATCTGAAACAAAAAATTCAAAAAGAGTTTTAAAGTATATTAAAAATTGTAGTCCCTATGGAATAATTTTTTTAATTTCTTTATTTTTTGTTTTCTTTTTCAGAAAAAAAGTTGAAATTTTTGCAAAAATCGATTCTTCAAGTTCGAAAGTCCGCTATTTTATTAAAAATAAAAAATTTAAAAGTCGCATCCAGAGGATAGGAACTATAATTTTTTATATATTTCAAGACTCTTTTTGAATTTCTTATTTCAGATGAACCAGGTTGAAGATATTTTTGAAATACTGCATACCGTGCACAGCTTAGAAAGAAAGAAGGAAGGAGGGAAATTTTCAATGAAATATAAAATAGAAAATTGTGATTAGTAGTAAAAAATATATACTTTCATTTACAAAAAGATTTGATTCTTGTAGCTTATATATCTTTTCCAGAAAAAAAACATAAAAAAGCCATACTTTTTGAAGTCGAAAGAGTTCTATGCCTTCTTAAACGGAAGCTGGAATCTTAAGTTACAATCATAAAATAAAAATAAATAAGTTACATAATAGCATTTTTTGTTGGACAAATTTTTTTAGATGCGCGCACTAACTACTACTAGCTTGTGCTTTTGCCGTTCGCTGTCTTTCTATGTAGATTTAATTCTTTGAAATATTAATTATTATTATTTTTTAAAGAATATCAATATAAATTTATAAAATATATAGCATGAAATTTTGTTTTATTTTTTTTATCTGTGCAAATAAAAATATTTTCTATACTCATCTTTCGAAGTTTAAAATAAGTGTATACAGATTTAAAATTTTTAAACAAGTGTATACAGATATATAATGTGAATTTATAATAATTGATATTTATCTGGCCGACGAGTAGAAAATAACATTTTGGCTAAACAAGTTTTGCATACATCAACACAATTTCAGCAGCCAATCATATCCTGATAACGAGATGCCAAGGCACCGATAAGAAGTACGCGACGTCAGTCAATCAGTCAAACGAGAATCGCGCAGTCGTTTTTATCTTTCTTCGTCATCAGTCTCGATCGTTTGTTTCGCTTCTATAATTTCCGGATGATCGTTAATAACTGCGATAATCTTTCAAGTTTTAATTACATAAGTAATAATAAATACAAAATTAACATCAAATTAAGAATCTCATGTGCTAGTTTTATCATCAAATTTTTTATATATGACCTATATTTAAAATAATTTTTTTAACTTACATTTTCTGAAAAGAAAAAATAGGTGTAATTAAAAATATAATTTAAGAAATTTTCATTAAAACTGACTATTAGTTACTACGTACATTAATATTTGAGCTATCATTAACTTTCAGTCACTTTGTATATTGATATTTTAGCCCACCTTGTATACATCTTACGTGACGGTGATACGACTATCTACATCATATGACTATTACAGATCATGTGACTAATTTTACAGGAAGAACAAAAGAAAAGTGCAAACAAAAAATGCAGCTAAAAATATATAGATTTGTCATATTAATTGATCATTTGTTATTAATATGATTGTAGATAGAGCGGATTAAACTGAGTCGAAAAGTCTTCTACCGTCGTAATTTTCGCAACAGTTAATAAGATAATTATTAAAAATTGGTCTTGAATATTTTTTTACTCAAATACTATCAACTTTACAGAAAAATTGCAAGAGATAAAAATCATTTATTTTCTTCTTGTACAATTCTAAGAATTTTTTCAGAATTTTTTCAGAATTTTTTATCAACTTTTTAGTAATATTGCATTTTCTTATTTGTACCATGAGAAAATGCGATATTAAAAAATTTAGAAAAAATTCTGAAAAAAATTCTCAGAACTTTATGAGAAGAAAATAAATAATTTTTATCTCTCGCTGTTTTTCTAAAGTTTATAGTATTTGAATAAAAAAATTATTGAAAATCAATATTTAGCGATTTTTAATAACTAATATCTTATTAACTATCATGAAAATTGCAAAATAGTAGAGGACTTTCGACTCAATTTAGTCCGTTTTATCTATACAAAAGCGATTGACCAAAACTTACGGGACACCCTGTATATACCATGTGAAGTATTGATACAATTATATAATATGTACTATGAAGTATATTTTTATAATCATATCCTATTTTCAATTAGAAAACATTATATCAGTTTCCCACTATTCTTTATGACATTTTCTTTTCATAAATCTATTTCCTGCTTCAAAAATTGCAAATAATTAAAATATATATTTGTAGAGAAATAATACTTTCATACATGACATAAATTTTCAAAAAAATAAATTATCAGAAAATGTTTTCTCCAAATGCTTATTTCGAATAATAAAGTAAATGATTATTTTAGATATATAGATATATATATATATATATATATATATATGTATATATATCATATGATATTATATTATTACGTGTTACTGATGATATTATATTATGACATTGTTGCATAGTTATAGATTTGTCACAGGCAGAAACGGTCACCTATCTGTTCATCGTGCGCGAATGACGTAACCAACGCGAGTGATCACCTTTTCTGCACGAGAATAGAAAGAACAAATAACGTTTTAGCGATAAATGGTGCTCGATGATTAGTACATGCTATATACATATATAAGATCATAGATGATCAACCATCCGCAGTTTATCTTACAGCAGTAAATATTCTACTACCATATTCGTCTTTGTCGAGCAAAGCGTGCGTCATTTAATTGATTGAATTATCTCAGAAATTTCATTATCAATAAGTATATTGTAAATTAGAATACTATTTAAAATTACAAACTTTATAGATGGAAGCATTATGATTAAATACGAAAAGTGAAAATAACAAATAAATGTCTAGAAAGCTTATATTTCCAAAAAAAACAAATTCAATAAAAGAATGGTGAAGATTTCATTTTTTGTAGTGTATCCATAGATTAAAAAAAATAATTAAAAAGAGAAATTTTTAAGATTTTTTAAAATCCGTACAATGTCATGAAAATCCACAAATGTTCATGAAATAGAAATTTGAAAAACAAAAGCGCAAGAACTGTATTGAAGCTATATTCATCAACAATTCCATGTTACGTTAAAAAACTAATATAAAAAAATCTTCAATTGAGTTGAAAATTTGTAACAATAATTGACAGCGAAAAATGGATCTCTATAAACTATTGAATATCTTTGTACAAAGAAGTTCCATGAAAGGAAATATGTAAACCAAATTTTAGAGCATTAAAAGATTATAAATTAAGATTGATTAAAAAAGTAACAATCAGAAGTGAAGAATAGAATTTTTTAAAGAACAATTAATTTTGGATCTTTATAAGATAAATTTAATACAATAATGTACAAATAGTAGTACTGCTGAAGTTTTTATTCTAAATACTTTAAACAAGTTACATTTGTAGTTGTGTCGCTATTGAAGCGTTTATTCAATATCGAGATTAGTATTGTACATTATAGTGAGTTATAAACGGGATGAATGATAATGTGTTGAAAATGGGCGGCAAATCTCCATCACTAGATTGTGAGGAAGAACAAAAGCTGATATCACCAACAACGCCGATGACGCCGATTATGCAAATGACAAAGAACCCGTATTCTTCCTTAAAATATAGGTAAAGCAAAAATATTTAGATTTTTCCCTTATTTTATCTATTAAAAAGTATAAAAATTCCTTTATAATTTCATATTGTTAAAATGAAACAAAATCAAAACATCTGTTAAAAACATCATGAGAAATATTGAGTTCATGCAATCTAAATTATTTGCAACTTTCGCCATGAAAATATTACGTATAGAATGACAACACGTTTTAACAATACTTTTTAAATATTTCTGTATACAAGATTTTTGGTATTTACGCAGTTTAAAAACAAGAAACTGTATAAAATTACAAGTTGAAAAACTGTTGATACAAAAAATATTTCTTACGAATAATTACAATAATAATATAATATACTTCTCTTTTAATTTCTTTCTTTATTTTCTCTCTCGAATGTGATATTTCAATCTGTCTATGAGCGTTAAAACACTCAGATAAAAATATAAAATCCAGCAAAAAATTGGTATATTAAAATTAGAACATTTTTTAACAATTTAAACTATTTTATATTGGAAATATTTATAATATAACAGCAATTGATTAGTAATAAAGACAATTATTAAGACAATTTTTATATTGATTAGTAATAAAGATAATTATTATGATAATTATTTCCTTATAAGATTATATTTATGTATATATATATATATATATATAATCAATAGAAGAAAATAATAAGATCTAATGTCTATGCGAATTAAGCAAAAGATACAAATTATTCATTAATAAATAAATCTTTATAAATATTGTATCTAATTAATTTTTCAAAATAACCAAAAACTTGAAGATTTTGCTTATAAAATTCTTTTTAAGATAAAATGTTGTAGTAATATAAAAAACAAGAAATTTTTTTTATACACATTGCAAAGCTGTATTTCAAGATTCACTGCCAGTGCTGAAAATGTATAGTATATGTAATGTAAATTGTAGATTTTCAGCGCTGGCAGTAAATTTTACACACAATCTAAATATACGAATATATATTCTATAAATAAGAAACCTTCTTCACACTAAGAAATTACTATGATTATAATCACTAATATGTGGTGCATGAAAAAGTGCACAATGATTGCATTTTTAATAGCAACATAATGATAAAAGTATAAGTAATAACATTGGTGTTTTTTATAATAGACTAAAATAAATTTTATTTCATAATTATTCACATAAAAAAATTATCAAAGAAGAGAAATTGTACACATGCAATTAATTTATTAATGAATATAATAAAATAAAAAAAGAACGCCTATCATTTATAAAAGCTTTTATAAAAAGTGTAAACACAAATTAATTATATAATGTGCTATGAATATAATACGTGCATATAATTATATAATTAATATTTATTAAATTGTAAATCCTTCCTCTCAAATACAAAAATAAATAAAAAGAATTTTTCTTATTTACAAAAAAATCTTAAAAAAAATCGAATTAAAAATATTCAAGCTAGTCTGAAATGAGAATAATATCTATGCAATAAAAAATTCACAGTGCGTAATTATATAATTATAATTATATTCATAATATGGACTTTTTATTATTCTTTTTATATCCATAAAATATTAATCCTTAATATACGGTTTGTCCACTTGTATTTATTTGAACTTTTTCATTTAAATTTTTCTGAAATTCTTTATAAGCAAAAGAGAGTCAGTAGATAATACACACGATTATATAATAAATCCGTCTCAGCCGTCTCGAACTTTCCGAGAAAAAATATTCTATATATAATTATATAAAATTATATATAATTCTATATATTTGTATATAAATGGACATATTTTATATATAATTCTGTACTGAGAGAAAAATGTTTGATATTTGTAACTATAATTACATATTACTATAATTATGATTATTACTGCTATAATAATAATAACTGCTATAATAATAGTAACTATGTATACAGGGTGCGTCATCAAAATCCGGACAAATTTCAATTTAAATTTTCTGCTATATTGTGCCTCCGTCAGAGGTTGTTGTTGGCGTCTGAGAAAGCCTGATGCTTCTAATAAACCGTCATATTCTTGGCCGCGATGTTGAAATCAAGTGCGGAATATAATCGAAGAGCCACGATCATGGAAGGCGTTAGGCGCTCAGAAACGGAAATAATTCGATTCTTTGAATACCCGAGACCGTTTATGACGTTGTGGCAAAATATACGACTTTAGAACAGTTCGACGAAGGTTCTAGTATGCCAGCGAGAAAGAGTCACTCGAAAGAACGCATCGCGAGGATCCCCGCAGTCGTTGAAAGGGCTCAAACGCTGATTTTGGATGACCCAGGGCAATTGCGAAAATTAGCATTGATTATTGGTGTATGCGAGCCAACAATGCGAATTGCCGAGGAGGATCTTCGATAACAAATCGTATATTAAAGATGCCCTCTGAGGCTGCCAGGACAAGCTGAGTTGCTCGCCTCGACTCCCAACAGCCCAGATTTAAATCCCTTGGACTACTATGTATGGAGCGTAGTTGAAAGGGTCACAAACAAGTCTCGACATCCCAATGTGATATCATTAAGGATTGCTATTGAAGCAGCATTCGTCGGCATGGGCAGCGTTACAGCGTGCGAACGCTTCAGATCGAGAATAGAGGCCGTTATTCAAGCTAATGGGGGATATATTGAATAATTGTGCTCTACAGGAATCCCCTAAATACCATGTAAAAGAATTTTTTGTGATATTTAATTTTTCATTAAAAACATTTTGTTTAAAGAAATTGTTTGATTTGTCCGGATTTTGATGATACATCCTATAACTAATAGTTCTAGCAACAAATGTATTATATATAGTTGGCAACCTGAAATGACTATAATTACAGTTATTATAACCATAAAATAATTGAAATTACCATAAAAATGATTCAAGTGACTATAATTTTATAGTTATATTTTGGGATAATCATATTTTTTGTAATTATAACTATAAAATTATAAAATTAACCCCAAATTGTAGTCATTTTAGGTTGCCAACTATATACATTTGTTGCTAAAATTATATACATAGTACTGTTATTATTATTATAACAACAATATTATAGCAACAAATGAAGTTTAAAGATTTTATGGGAAATCTGGACTATTTATAATTTAGTAAAGTGGATGCGTTTTTTCATGAGGATGAGACTGGTTTTATGAAGAATGTTTTTGGATTTGTGAGTTTTTAGATGGTCCTTGAGTTATAGGAACTTTGGGATGTTATTATTGGGAGTACAAATTAGTTCGGTCTGTTTTCCAAAAGATGGCTCCGGCTGTTGTGAATGGTTCATAGTGACAGCTGATAGTGTTTTCAGAGAGGTTAGACATTTGCTAATAATATTCAGTTTATATCGCTTTGAGTTTCATACAAAAACCTTGATTTTTATTATGTTTGAAATGTTGAATTTTGTGTTAACCAAGCAACATTTGCTGGAGGTTCTAATTTTCTGCTTTAATTGGAAGAAAAGTGCAGCTGAAGCCCATCGAATGGGCAATGCTTGTCGAAGTTTATGGTGACACTGCTCCAACTGATAAATCATGTAGGGAATGATTTCGATGTTTCAAGGATGGAGATTTCAGCGTTGAAGACAAGCCTCACAACAAAAGAATTCGGAGAACAATAATTAGAGGCATTACTCGAAGAAGATCAGAGTCAAACGCAAGAGGAGCTTGAAGAATCATTGGGAGTAATTCAACAAGCCGTTTCTGCACGATTGAGAGCCATGGGAATAATTCAAAAACAAGGAAATTGGATGCCTTATGAATTGAAACCGAGAGACGTTGAAAGGCGATTTTTCACTTGCGAACAGCTGATTCAAAGATAACAAAGAAAAAGTTTTTTGCATCGGATTGTGACTGGAGATGAGAAGTAAATATTCTACCCCAAGAAGAAAAAATACTACGCTAGCCCGGTCAATCGTTGCCATCGACCTCAATATCAACCAAAGCCGAACATTCATGGTTCGAAGATCATGCTCTGTATCTAGTAGAACCAAAAGGGTATTGTTTACTATGAGCTACTGAAACCTGACGATTCCATTATGGGCGATCGCGATCGGCTACAATTGATTCGTTTGAGCCGTGCATTGCGAGAAAAACGGCCGGAATATGAGCAAAGACATGATAAAGTTACTTTTCTTCATGACAACGCTCGTCCTCATGTCGCAAAAGTCGTAAAAAAATATTTGGAAACGTTCAAATGGGATGTTTTACCGTACCCGCCGTATTCTCCGGACATTCCTCCTTCTGATTACTGGTTGTTCCGAAAGATGCAGCACGATTTGGCAAGTTCACTTCTTCAAAATTGGATCGCCTCCAAAGACGAGTTATTTTTTCGAGATGGAATTCGAAAATTGCCTGAGAGGGAAAAAGTAGTAGCCAGCGATGGACAATACTTTAATTAATTTGTTCATTCATTTTGTTTTGAAATAAATGCATTTTTGAACACAAAAAAACGGACCGAACTAATTGTACTCCCAATATCTCTACAGCATTTTAGAGTACATAGTACATAGAGCTTTGTACATAGAGCTTTCATCACCTCTGACAAAGAATATCTACAAACGGAACTCAAATCACTTAAAATTAGAAACTTACAGAAAAACGGACACGACAAAAAAGACATAATCAAAACAATCAATAAACATGCAAACAAGACAATGGTTTTTAACACACAATCAGACGAAAGGATCTTATCCATTCTCCCATATGTCAAAGGAACAACAAATTGGATTGGCAGGATATTAAACAAACGCAATATCCAAACTATAATTCTTTAAACCATTCAAAAAGATAAGACAAATCTTAAGAAATCCTAAAGATCAAAGACCTCTATTCAGCTCTGCAGAAGTATACAAAATACCTTGTTCCTGCGTGCAAATATACATTGGAGAAACTGAGAGAATCAACTTACGGATAAAAGAATACCAATGTGATGTCAGGCTAAAACACGTCAACATTATCAGAACACAATATCGAAACAGGATATCAAATACTGTTTAACAAAATGATCACAATAGCCAACATTATATCATA